CATGTGGAGGGAGCCGAGACTTGCTGGGGGTCCCCACTGCTCACCCTGTGGCCTCCCTCCTGCCCCAGTCGGGGATTGTACAGTTGCAGTGGGAGGAAAGCTCGGCCGTGGTGTACACCTGCAGCCTGGATGGGGCCGTGCGGCTCTGGGACGCCCGCTCGGGGAAGATGATCAGCGAGTACCGAGGGCACTCAGCCGAAATCCTCGACTTTGCCGTCAACAAGTGAGCGGGGAACCCCTTGACCCCTTCCCTGCTGGGTGGAGGGACCAGGGGTGACAGGGGTCTCCAGCCTTAGGACCTTGAATCATGAGCTGTCTCCCCGAGGACAAAGCCAGGTCCACACTGAGACTTGAGGGTCTCAGGAGGGGGAGTGGAGCAGACCAGAGCTGGGCCAGGGCCATTGGTGAGGGATGTCCGAAGCCCCCAGCCCCATCTCTGAGCCCTCTCTCCTCCCAGGGATGCCTCCATCGTGGTAACAACCTCTGGCGACCACCAAGCCAAAGTGTTCTGCGTCCAGCGCCCCGACCGCTAGGAACTGTGCTGAGGGATGGTGCCCTGGCTCTGCCCTGGCTCATGTACAGAGGAATGAGGGAGATGGGTTTCACCACCCTTCTCCCGTGCGTGCTTTGTAATTTTCCAGCATGCCCCGCTTTGCCCTTACCCCCTGGGGGCCAAGCCTGGGGTTTTGTATGAAAATGTCTTTAATTATATAAATTATTTCACTTAACTGGATGCCATCCGCGCTGCTTGTTGGGGGGAAGAGGACCTGCGGCGCTCTGCTCCCTCTCTCCTCAGGATCTCCTCAGCATCCAACCCTGGCCTGAGGATCAATGGCAGGCGGGTTTTATGCTGGTCTGGGTGGAGGTAGAGACCCTCGTCCTAGCCCTCCCTGTTAGGGGGGATGAGGGGGTCAGGGTAGGACAGAAGGATGCATATTGCTAGTCCGGGTAGGAGAATCCTGCTCTGTGCAGCCCAAGAGTTCCCTAACACAACAGGCTGGGCACAGCACCCCCTACTTCAGCCCTCAAGACAGAGATCACCAGAAGTAATTTGCTCTGGGATACAGTAATTATCCCCCCTTGCGCCTGTGACTCCAAACATCCCTTCCAGGGCAAGGCCACATGCATTGACAAGCCAAAGCCCCACAGCCCCTTAAGATAGAAAGATCTCCTTTATTAATGAACCCCAACAGTATTTCTTCAGATACAGGAGTTTTGAACTCAAATACTCAGAAGAAAACAAGTTAATATTGTATTATTCTCATAAGAAATACTGCAACTTATTTCCGGTAACATATTGCAAAGCGAAACAGCTTGAAAAGAAAAAAAAAAATTAAAAAAGAAAAGAAATTAAGTCAATCAAACTGGAATTAAGGTTTTGTTTCTTGGAACGATCGAGTCCTCGCAAGCACAGCTCGTTTCTGCAGATTACTCCCCAAACTGTCGTACAAACAGACCCCGATTGCTTGAATTCCTTATGAGCCCACAGAGGTGCAACATTAAAAGCTACGATTATCGGGTAGCAAGTGCCCCAACCTTCGTCCTCCACGGCAGCCTCAGTGACCCTGGCGTTAACGGGTTGTGAACGTCTTCCCCCTGAAAGGATACAGAGAGAGGTCAGCACAGCTCCCCCCCGGTGCTGTTCTAGGGTGTCCCCAGGTGGCTACGGGCCTTCTGGTGGGCCACACGCTTGCACCAGCTCTCAGAGCCAGGCAGGCACTGCTGGTTCAGAGCTCGCAGGTGTTTGTGGCTGCAGCCCTGGGTCGCGGGGCTGTGGGGAAGGGTTGGCTCCCTCCCAGGGAAGGGGACACGTCAGGATGCACAGAAAAAGGACACCGAGGGGCTCCAGGATCAGCAGAGGGTAAAGGACCTGAGGGAAACACGTTCACTCAACTACTCTCCTCTACCCCTTTGCTCTGGGCTGCGTTATTCACAGGAGGGAGGCAGCTGGCCAGCCAGCCAGCCAGCGGGGTGGCCCGGGAGCGCTCCTGGCCCCAGCCATCTGTTGGCCAGGGGCTCCAAGGAGCTGCAGACAGACCAGGCAACAGTAACCTGCTCCAGCACCTGCAAACGCCCCGGAAAGACCTGTCCCCTCTCCCCTGTGGGCTGGAGCTGCCCCAGAGCTGATCAGCCAGCTTTAATAAAACGGGGAAAGCTCCACAAATGCCACCACAGGCTGGGGGCAGGGGACGACAGTGGAGACACCAGGGCTCACAGAGCCGTGTACGCGCCTTCTTTTGCAAAGGACCTGCTGGCACAGGGTTTGCCGCAGACCCAGCCCCTACAAAGGACACGTGAGGCAGTGAGTGAGTGTGGTGGAGGGGGCACAGGGGTCCTGGGAGGCCAACAGAAATCTGGTCTTTCGCCTCAAGGCGCCCAAGCAAGCGCCTCACTATGAAACACCCCCTTTCTCTCCCAGATGGTGTCCCAGCACATCAGGCCCTGGTCTGGTCACCCCCACAGCATCCCAATCCTCCCTGGAGTATGCCAAGCTGAGAAGGAGCAAGCTTTGTGGCTGGCAGAGAAGCCCAGAGAGCTGGGCCCTGCTTTGCTACTCACGTGATTGTTTTCATTTCTTTCTTCTCTGCATCTG